GCTCCCACTCCAGGTCACGATCCAGATACCACCGTTAGGGCAAGCTGAAATCGCAGACGGTTTAGTAAGTTTTTTCGAGCAATGGGAGGCTATTACCTCAGACTCCTTAGTCCTAGAGGCCATACAGGGCTATCGCATTCCCTTCATCTCTGAAAGACTAAGCTGTCCAGAACCGATCCTGAGCCTTTCTGACAGCTTGTGGTGTGATAAAGAGATTAAGCGTCTCCTCCTCAAGGGAGCCATTGTTCCGGTTGAGCTTTGCAAGGAGCAGTTCTTATTTACATTTTTTCTTATCGACAAACCCTCAGGGGGTAAGCGTTTCATCTTAAACTTACGCGAATTAAATCAATACATTGACCCGCCCCACTTCAAATTAGAAGACTGGCGGACGGTCATTCGCTTGATGCTCCCCGGAACATACATGGCTACCATCGATTGGGAGGATGCCTACTTATCCATTGCTATTTCCAGGGTTCACAGTTTCTTCGTTTTCAGTGGCGTCAGCAGGTCTTCGAATTTACAGCACTGCCCTTTGGCCTCTCTTCGGCCCCGTTTATTTTTACAAGGATCCTCAGGCCGGTCGCCACATATCTGCGGAATAAAGGCTATCATCCGTTATCTACTTGGATGACTTTCTCCTGCTGGGATTATCTTTCGTTGAATGCCGGACAAACGTCATTGCATCCCTGGATCTCCTCCAGTCCCTGGGATTTTGTATTAGTCAATTTTCTCAAGTCATGCTTGAGACCTTCTACTTCCTGTAAGTACTTGGATTTCATTTTTCATTCGATAAAGCAGTCAATTTCGATTCCTCGGAGACGTGAAAATCTGAGGGACCTTACGACTAAAATAGCCAGGCTATCAAAATGTCCGATAAGACTCTTTGCGAGCTTTATCGGTTCACTCATTTCTGTTTGTCCAGCAGTGCAATATGGCCTCTTATACACCAAATCGTTCGAAAAGGAAAAAATTTTTAGCCCTATCTAAAAATAATGAAGATTTCTCGGCCATAATAGAAATCTCGCTGCATCTCGGCCCGGACTTTAGCTGGTGGATAAACATCTTTTCGGACCATAACCAATCCAACAGGATACATTCTGAGAGTTTTGTTCGCAAGATTTTCACAGACGCCTCTTTGAACGGTTGGGGCGCAGCATGGGGATCGAATCGTACCCACGGTTGGTGGTCTGAAAGTGAGCGATCCCTTCATATAAACGCCTTGGAACTCAAGGCAGCCTTCAATGGTCTTCGCTGCTTTGCAGCGGACCTTCGAGACTGTAACATCTTGCTTCGAATTGATAACTCCACAGCCTTAGCATACATCAACAGATTCGGGTCTATAAAATTTCCTCACCTCTTGGCCATTTCGACCGAAATTTGGCGTTGGTGTGAAGAGCGCAATATCTTTATTTTTGCCTCTTATATACCGTCTTTTCAAAATAGAATAGCAGACGCCGAATCCAGGATTGCGGACCCAGATACGGAGTGATCCCTCTTAGAAAGGGCTTTCTACAAGGTCTGGAAAGTTCTTGGTCCATTTGACGTAGATCTATTCGCATCCCTTAATAATAACAAATGTGATGCTTACGTTTCATGGTTCCCAGACCCAGGATCGATTGCGATAGACGCTTTTACGCTTTCTTGGAGTAGCTTAAATTTTTATGCTTTCCCGCCTTTTATTTTATTGCCTCGAGTCTTGAGGAAAATAGTGGACGACGAGGCAACGGGCACAGTCATAGTACCATGGTGGCCCTTGCAGCCCTGGTTCCCGTTGTTTCGCCACCTCTTGCGGTCAGAGCCGCTAATTCTCTCGCCGGATCTTTCACTTCTCTCGTCTCCTTTCAGAAACCAGCACCCGGCCTGGAAGACGCTTTCTCTGGCGGCCGCGAAGTTATCAGGGAGGCCTTCAGACTTCGCCTAGTTCCCTCAGAAACCATCCCAGCTCTAATCGCGTCATTGGCAGACGCCACTATCAAACAATACACTCATCCCCTCAAGTCTTGGTGAAGATTCTGCTGTCAGCATCAATTGCCTCTCTATTCACCCTCGGCCTCCCAGATGCTAGAGTTTCTCGCACAGGAGCTGCATAATATATCTTCTTATTCATCTTTAAATACCATGAGGTCGGCAGTTTCTCTGATCTCCAACAATGAGATAGGTAACGATCCCTTGGTTCGACGTTTCTGCAAGGGAGGGCGGCACTCAAACCTCAGCGCCCACGATATGATTTTATATGGAACCCTGCTCCAGTGATAGCAAAGCTCGCCTCTATCTATCCTTATGAGGGCATCCCCCTCAGGCGAATCACTACTAAATTAGTGCTTTTACTGGCTCTCGGAATGGGACAACGTGCAGCTATTAGACTGTCGCAGATCTCTATAAGCGAGAAGATAATAATTCGCTGTCCGGATCGGACTAAAACTTCAGCTCCTGGACGTTATCAACCCTTCTTCTGCTTTTCTCGCTTCCTAGAGCAGGAGAATCTTTGTATAGTGCGTCTCACAGAACATTACATAGAAAGAACCAGAGCTCTGCGCCCATCCTCGTGCGACTCCTTATTCATTTCACTATCCAAGCCATTTCGAGCAGTTAAGGCACAAACCCTCAGTCGGTGGATAAAGCAGGGTCTGCGGGAAGCCGGAATCAACACCGAAACCTTCTCGGTTCATAGCACTAGACATGCTTCAACATCACGGGCAGCACAGAAAGGAGTCTCGTCGGATTTGATCAAACGAGCGGCAGGTTGGACTGGGGAATCCAGAGTTTTCGCCAACTTCTATAACAGGCCTATTATCAACCCCGAGGAATATAGCAACGCAGTTCTTCTAATATAAAGAAATCTTAAGTCGACTTTGTCTGTTCCCTTCAGGGATTCCCCCTCCAACAAAGTAAGACGGGTTATTCTAAGAAAGCAATGTATTATAAGATCTACCTCTCGGGGTTTCCCCTCTCTTCTTCTTTTCTTTTTTATTATTATGTCTCCGCTTAAACAAGATTAATTTCTGTCAATTATATACTCTTACAATAGTATGTACAATAGTCGCCAAATCGCACCTTTGAACATCTACATAGTTATTCCCATCCGGACGAGACCTTAGGGGGCATAATTGATAGATTGAACGAACTTACCTGTGAAGTTCGATCCTAATTATGCCCTCGGTCTCGTCTGGATGGGACAAAACCCGTCCCCTTATTCTTTGTTCCTAATAGCATTATCTTTCAGGGTTAATTATGTTCCCTCCCACTGCTAGCGATTTGTCTCAGCAACTTTAAACTTATGAACATGGCGGGGCAGGCGCCACCGAAGATGGCGGGCGACAGGGGCGCCGCGCGATCCGCGCGCCTTGCCGACGGCAGTGGCGCCAAAATTCTTTTTTGTCACTTTGAATTCTGTTGTCAGAGCGCGTGCAGAGCACGACTACATAGTTATTCCCATCCGGACGAGACCGAGGGCATAATTAGGATCGAATTTCACAGGTAAGTTCGTTCAATCTATCAATTATGTCTTCGTTAATATATGGTAAGTAGCTTCGATCAGTTTGTTAATAACTTTGATATCCACTTGTAGTCCAAGTATCAGGTGACTGGCCGT